GCTTGTATCCAACAGTCGCAGCAAATATAGTTTGCAGTTTTGGGCAAGACATCAGTGTGGAGTGATGTAAACCAGGGAGGTTTTTGTAGATAGCTTGGCTTGCTTACATGAATTATCTGGCACATTTGCTCAGCAAGCACAACTATACTGAGTTCAGCAGGACCCCCATATCTGTTGGTTCAGTTACTGTGTTTTCACTTAACCTAGGCTGACCTCAGTCTTAAAGAGAAGTCATAAATTGCCAAAGAGAAATCATGAAGTGTTTTCTTTGAGTGAAAATTCTTGATTTAAAAGGGAAAGAAAAAGAGATCATATGCTGAGGTTGCTAGAATGTATGGTAAGAACAGATCTTCACATGGAATTGTGAAGGAAGAAATATATATGTACACAAGATATAGCACATATAGTATTCACTATTATCTGTGGTTTCAGGCATCTGCTGGGAGGAGGGCATGGAAACTATCCCTGTAGATATAAGGGTCTTTTTAGCATTTTAAACTGCCCAAAGGGCTTGGATATGGAATTTCACATACTTATTAAAGACATAATATTTTGACATGCTAATCTAAAAGACTAGATGAGTTCTTTTTCGAAACAAAACTTTGATCTAGATTGCCTTGTAAAAGGTAAAAAAGGTAAAGGTTTCCCCTTGACGTGAAGTCCAGTCATGCCTGACTCTAGGGGGTGGTGCTCATCTCCGTTTCCTAGCCAAGGGAGCCAGCGTTTGTCCGCAGTCTCCATGGTCATGTGGCCAGCATGACTAAACACTGAGGTGCACGGAACGCTGTTACCTTCCCACCGAAGTGGTATCTTTTTATCTTCTTGCATTTGCACGCTTTCGAACTGCAAGGTTGGCAGGAGCTGTGACGGAGCAATGGGAACTCACCCTGTTGTGCAGATTCGAACCAGCAACCTTTCGATCAACAAGCCCAGCAGCACAGCAGTTTAAACCACTGTGCCACCACTGTGCCACCTGCATCCCTAGATTGCCTTGTAATCTCTTAAAATTGCTTAGTCATTTATTTTCAAAATATACACCATTAAATAGTCTTATTTTAACTAGGTCTTATTTAAATGTCAATTTTTAACATTGAATGAACAGAATTACAAAATATTACATATAAGCAAGCTGCGTATTTGTCTAGAAGTCATTTTATTCCCCCTTCTCAGCATAAATTTAGAGCAAGGTTAAAGTTCATACATTAAAAAATATCTGGTATGCATCTTTCTGGTATAAACAATTCTGCAAGAGTGATAACACTACAAAGAACACTTTCTAGCACATGCTCCCAAAGCTGCTACTTAATATAAATAACCCTAAAGTAATTAAGTCTGACAGCTCTTGATGAAAGTGCTGGAAGACATCACATGTCCCTGTTGCTTAAAGAGTTCATTGCCTACAATCCACAAGGCAAACCAACAAGCTATTCATACATTTAGATAACAAAGGCCTATGCCCAACAAAAAAGAAAAAAAAAGACCCTTGATTAAAATGCTATCTTTTGCAATGCAGGAAGTTATCTCCCTCTAAGGAGCCATGGACTTGACCTTTCTTCAGCCTAGTTATTATGTGTAACTTGGAAAAACAGTCCAAAGTCTAACTACACAATTTTTATACCATATTATCTTTGCTAGTCAGGTTTGTGAGAAAGGCCAAAACTCAACTTAATATGCAAAAATATCCTGCTAAGGTCACCATATGAAGACTTTTTAAAAAGTCACAATGAACGTAGTTGTCAAGGAATAACAAACACTGCAAGATTATAAGAAAGTTCTCCTTCCAGAGTGTTTCACCTTGAATAACTTCATAAATGGCATGAGGGGCAGGCTCTAGACATAATCATACTTATAGGAGACTCATTGAGATAAACAGGGCCTAGATATGGGTCCATTCTAAGTATAGTCCATGTCTGGATGCAACCTATTTATTTATTTAAAACTTTTGTATGCCGTCCCTTATGCATGGCATCTCCAGACGGCTTACAATCATTAAAACATTAAATTTATGCTTTTGCAGATAATTTACATGATCTGATATTCAATAGAACAAACCTATTACTTGCTGAGTTTCTATAGTGTGGACTCATTTATATTTAGTAAAAATATTCTTGTAGCAACCTGTACAGGAAATGGGTCAGATTTGAACAGCATTACCTCCAAACAGTTCTATCTGGTTCTAAAAGCAAGAGGAAATTCCCTTAGTACAACTTCCAGTTGATTAAAGGTACTTTTGGCTTTAGGACAAATGGTCAGCAGATAACTTCCTCCCTACCTACACAACCTACACAATGAACGACACTCTTGTGCAAGTGAGGACCATCCATTCACTAAAAGCATTAGGCAACTGATCCTTTGGTGCAAGTCAGGCTGATATGCCTAAAAGCTAGAATGCCTGGTCTTTTATCACTAGGCTCTTGGGATGCTGCCACCAAAGGCATACCACAACCACCTGAGCTCTATATTTCTGCAGTGCCGTCATTTCCATTTGCTTAGCTCTTCTCACACTACCACCATCTGGATCAAGTGGGGCATACTCCCCTGAAAATGTTACCAGGGGTTTAATGTGCAATAATATAATTGACAGACCTGTTCAAAGCAAGACCTTTCCAGAAAAACAATGATCTAGCATAATTCTAACGTGATGATTGATAGGGATTTTCTTCTGCACCTAAAGGGACTGTCCCTCATGAATTGCAGTAATGACAAGAGATACACTGTCTGTCTTGCCGAGTTTTGCTAATAGGTTATTTTAGTTTTAAGTGGTAATAGAACAAAGATAAACACTATCCAATAGAGCTTTTATTCTTATTATACCAGTTAAGTGATAAGTGAACGGTATCATGCATCCCACAAGTCAGTGAAAAAGCAAAGACCATAAAATAACACAGAGATATGATTAGACTGTCTGCTATCACAATATTTTCTGAAGAGAAAAGGTTAAAAGAGCATCCACTGAATAGAATGTATCAAAAATTTTACTTTAGTATGTACAATGCACCACTTTTCTTAAAAGTGGCTCAGAAAAATGTGATTGCTAATAATATTAGTGGGTAAATCAAATCAACAGTAGATCATCAGATTCTGATATATGGACAGCAGTATCTTAGAAGCAACAGGGTTTTTAATTTTATGCCTTCAGTAAATTACTAAAACAAAATGACACTTAAGAAAAATTGAGGCAAGCAAAACAAAAGCATTAGGTTTTAAAATCTCCAGAGGTTTTATATATCTACCTGTTTGTAAATTTAAAGGCCTTAATAGTTTCCAAATCATCCTAGAAAATTCAAGTGAATGTTTTACTTCAAAACATTTCAATAAAATATCCTGGCTAGGGTCTAAATGGTCAGTTTAGACATACACTATTCAACTAGTCTAGAATGACCCAAGGGACATGATGTTTTGTGAGCCGCCCCGAGGCTTCAGCGAATGGGGCAGCATAGACATTTTCTAAATAAACAAACAAACAAACAAACAAACAAACTCTTTGATACTCAAGAGATTTTCAAAGCGGTTTGGGATATTGTATAGCAAGTGTCTGCTCTTCAGAAGAAACAAAAAGTCAAAGGATTCCTGCTGGGAGGCTCTGGTATTTGTTATATGCTGTCAAGTCATCTCTTGACTTATGGTGACCCTATGAGTGAATGCCCTCCAAAATATCTTGCCCTTGGCAGCCCTGATTAGCTCTTGCAAACTCAGGGCTGGGGCTTCCTTATAGAATTGATCCGTCTTGTATCTGGTCTAACCATTCTGCCTTTGACTATCTCTAGCAATATTGTCTTTTCCCTTTGAACAGCAGGTTTCCCATCCATGACATACCACACAAACTGCTTTTCTAACACCCACAACCTTTAAAGACTGTGGCATGAGTGGCTGCTGCTCAAGTAACATAAGCCCAAGTTCTGTATAAAAATGTTGAATTATTTGGTTTGTGGGATCACACCTTATAAGCAACATTTTCATCCATGGGACTCACATCACCTTCCTTGGTGCCAGCAAAGAAACTTGGCAATTTGCACTTAATTTTTTATAGCAAATTACTACAAAGGGTTAAAAAGGCCAAACTGCCACTAGAAATGTTAGCAGCATATCAACAGGAAATCTTAGTGGGTGGCAGGAGCTGCATGTAACTAGTATCTTACCTACCCCCTTTGTTTATCCTCCTTCTCAAACATGAGAAGAAAAATGTGCTTGACTAGACTGAATACCCATCGGGCCCAGCATTCTGTTCCCACTTCAGTATACCACAGAATGAATATAAGGTGCTGAAAAACTACACTGGGAAAGGGCTGGTGCTGTCTTGCCCATGCTTCTGGACTTCATGGTTGTACATGGTAGGAAGCTAACCCGGTTTTGATCCAGCAGATCTGTTCTAATGCAAGAGCCTGACTACACACAATATAAATCAATTTTCATCAGATTTGAAGAGAGTAATATTTAACACATTACAAATTATTTTCGGCATTGTGAATCAGAAAGCAGTTTAAACAATTAAAATATTTTTATTTATCATTTGGGAATTTTGATCAACTCACCAAATGACTCCACAGAGGCTTGAGAGCAGCTAACAATATCTAATTAAACAATACATGCAATTATAGTCACCATTATTATGAAAAGAAATATCCTAAAATACTAGGATAGATAATGATGAAGCAACTAGTAGAAGAACATAGAAACACAGAAACAGAACGAGTCAGAAGGGGCCTCCCAGGCCATCTAGTCTGACCTCTGGCACCAGCCGGCTCCGCTCACGACATGCCCACCATGTGCACGTCCAGCCTATCCTTGAACACCCGCACCGATGGGGCCTCAACGACCTCTCGTGGAAGCCCATTCCACACCCTCAGGGTCCTGACTGTCAGGAAGTGCTTCCTGGCATCCAAATGGAACCTTGGCTCCCTGAGCTTTGGTCTGCTGGAGCGCGTCCTGCCTTCCTCTGCAGGGGAGAACATGTAAGAGCAGAAAAAACAGGAAAAAATACTTTTATGTTGGTGACCTACCAAATCCTGGAATAGCTTTGAGACTAGATTTGAGACATATTTTTTCAAGTCTGAGGTAGCTATATCTCAGCAGGCAGTTCCATAGGAACATCCAATCCATTCGTGTTCGGTGGTTCATGATTATGACACTTCTTTCTCCAGGTATGAATCCATCACCTGTTATAACCACCTTTGCGCCAAACACTATCTCCAACAAGGCCTAGGAAAAGAAATTTTGTTATTTATTTATTTGATTGACTGATTTCTAACCCACCCCATGAGTTACACAGCTTCCTGCGCATATTGCAATAAAAATTATGTGGTGAGAATCCTGCACACGTATTATAAAACAAGACAACATCATACACTAAATATAATAGTTAATATCTATTTACCCATTTAACTGAAGGTATTTGAGAAATCATTGACATCACATAAATGGATGAATTTTACAGTAGCACATGGAATGGGGCCTTCTTCAGAGCTTCCATCCCATGGCAGAGTCTTCCTGGGAAATCTTTTAATACACTATTAGCTATATGACAGTAATCTTATGATATGAATAGTAATCTTTCTATGCAATGACTTGTTAGGTCTGTTATTATTACATTGTATTTATATTCCACCCATTTCCTACTGAGAGGAACCCAAGGTGGCTTCCAAAGCTCTATTTTATCCTCATATCAACAAGGTAGGTTGGGTTGAGAGTCTGTAAGTGGCCAAAACTCAACCAGTGAGCATCACAGCTGAGTGGGACTAGAACCCAAATTTCCCAGGTATCCAATCTGACATTCTAACCACTATACCACACTGGCTTCCCACTGTTGCTCTTCAGGAACATTTTACAGCTCTGTATTTGTATTTTTACTGTTTGCATTTTTGATTATGCTGTACATCACACTGACCTGCTTTAGGAAATGTATCTAAGAAATTGCATTATAAATGAATAGCATCTAGAGTATTTGGAAAGTGATCCAAATAGAAATCCTTGATCAAATAACTTTCTTCAAATCTAATTGATCACAAGATGAGGTGCACATCATCTTGAACCCTTCAAAGCAAACTTTGGATACAAAAGTAGAAAACAGAAACAGCATAATGTAATGACCAAAAAGGAGCTCAAGGAAACCAGCTGTAGGTTACTCTTGCAAGATGCAGGTTCAACAAGGGTGTCTGGCTGGGGAGGTTTTACTAACCACTCTGAAGTTCAGGGCTTGTTCATCTACCCCCATTGGATTCAGATGTCATGACAATGCAAACCTGGAAAGCACAATCATGCTAATTAGGTGGCTCATGAGTAACACTTGAGGAGGGAAAATAAGCCTCCATGGAGTATTTTTTCCTCTGTGAATGTGCAAATCTGCATATTTTACCCTCTGAACTACGCAAAGGGAAAAGTGAAATCTTCTATCTCAAAACAAGCTACGATGTACAGAAATATGAAGCAGCATCAGAATTAAGCAAGATGGAAAAATAAGTATATAAAACAGATTCCATGCCTCAGCCAATCAACTGAGATGTCGCTTACCTCTGTGAAGGGCTTTTAGTTCATGGTGTGAGTAATAAAAAGCAGTAATGGATGACTCAACTAACTGCAGCACTGGCCTGATATTATTGATCAAGTCTAAGACTGAATCATTATAATAAGCAGAACAGACTATATATGACCATTCAAAAACTGGCCATATATCAGGGACAAAAATAGTCAAGCTCATTAAGATGTTGCTTGCAATTAATACTATAGAGTGCCCACTGCTGGAAACACAAAGTTGGATTGTATGGTTTAGATTCTAAGCAAAATTAACTTAAGGAAATTCGCAGAATGAAAGCCTCATCTTTCTTTCCTTACAGCCATTTCTCTGTGCCCCAAAATGCATCACCAGAAGACAGGAAGAGAAGGCTTCCTGAAAAAAGTGTGGGATGAGGTATGCTGGGGTAGAATGAGCTTGGAAACATTCCTTCCACTAACTTTTCTCAAGATCCAAATCTATGTAGACAAGAGACTTTATCAAGGCCCAATCCTACAAGGTAATCATATTCAAACAAAAGATGGTACATGTGTGAATGCACATGCCCTCTGCCCAAGTATCCCCACAACCTTGCATCCTCAGATAGCATTTTACCATCCTAAAGTTACCACTCTTGGCCTAGTCCTTAATTTAATACAATTACTGAACATGCTCTGACTTGCTTTTTCTTTTCCCTACATTCTTGATAGGACTGATAGACAGAATGTTAATTTTCAACTGGGAAAAGACATTCTGGCAGGGCCTTGGGAGCACCTATTCCTGCTGCCATCACCACCTTCCCTTTGGTAAGTTTCTGAGTCTTGTGGCTGGGGCAGTTTTAATTGCCATATATTTTTAAGGCATTTTGGGTATGGGTACAGTTCATGACTGTAGTGTTGGCCATGGAGCAGTTTTAACTTCAGTGCCACAGATCTATATAAATTTTCTTTCTTTCCAATATCAGCATTATACCTAACTACAAGTGTGATCTGCGTCTAAATGCTGCAGGAGTTCCAACTAGTCAGCCACATACCCTCCCAGAATACTCCACTCCATCTACTCTCCCTTCCTGATTTTTTGAATTCACCTCTACCACAGAAAGCACTTGCTCAAGCAGCCAGTATTCTGCATATAGTAATCATGCTCAATCCTTACAGGGTTGCTTTGTAGTTCCAGCCTCCACTGTAGGATTGCTTTTTTTTGGGTACTTCTCACTATTAGTATAAGTTACAATTACCTGACATAATCATCATGTTCTTTTAAACATTCTCTCTATCTCTGTCTCTGTCTCTGTCTCTCTCTGTCTCTCTCTGAGCATACCAAGAATACAGGTATCCTTGATTCTGGTATTGCAAGACAGGCCTGCTAATTTACTGACATGCTCCAAGAAAGGAACAGTTCATATACTTTTGTATACCTGATGTTTCTGCATTAGAATCTCTCATTTCTATGCCACACACATGCTTGTGAATCCCTAATGATAGTATGATTTTAGCTGAATAAAAGAGAGTACTCTGTGCCCATGAGTTTAGCTCCCATGTCAGCTTACAATCAAATAGGGATTTTAAATTAAAATAGCTAAAACCGCCAAGCTAAAGCAAGACATAAAAAACATAAAACCACCTTAACATTGAAAAAAATGAGGGTGGAGTCATAAACATAGATACAGATACAACCTGAAACTTATTTAGAAACTGTTACTGTTATTTATACTGATATATTAGAATTAACAAGTAGTGACTTTGCTGGACAGCCAAAGGTCAAGAGGGACTACAGAGCAGCACCTTGAAAGTTATAGGTATATGTGCTGCAGCTTATCTGAAGTACACCATCAGGAAAACCTCCTTTTATTAGCTTATTTAAATAAAATAATATGTGCTACAAGAAAATTAATTAAACATAGATACTAAAATAATTAATGACAAGTCATTAATGTGGTAAAAGTATCATTTAGAAGACAATAAATCATATGGCTGCATGTTATTACATTTTCCATTCCAGAATAGAACAAATAATGCCCAATGTTCCATTAATTTTCTAATAGTTGTCCTTCCTGAGCACTTATGTGACTTTTCAATTTAGTCATTTTGGGTATCAGCCAAATTCTTTCCAGACCTTCCTCTCCCCAGATCTCTAAATGAGAAGCAGTTGCTTTTTATGTTTATCTTCACCAATTAGTAATACATAGCTAAGGTTGCAATGCTAAACACACTTATTAGGTAGGGACTGAGCCCTATTAAACAAAGTTTGAATGTATTACTCCATGCCAGATGCAATACTATGCATACTTAACCAAGACTTAAGTGGTTCTCTTTCTGGAAAAAAAAAAAATCAGTGCTTGACATTGCACCTATATTTTTGGACTCTATTCTGCTACTTGAGACAGGAGGATGCACCGACATTATCTCCTCCTCGCTGCATCTTCATCACTCCCTCTCCCTCAATGGTTCAATCTGAGGTCTCCTCCCTCAGAGCAATGGTCTGAAACAAAGGCGATCTTGGAATTCCTGTGCCATGGCAACATAGCAGGAAATGGAATATGCATTGATAATCCTATCATCCATGAAAGGGAAAATACAAACACATGTGTACGGACAATAAAAAGTGTAAACCAGTGGGAATAACAGAAATTCGATAGGCAAGTGGTGATACTTTTCATATATATTATACATATATGTAATATACCTATTATGACGATGCATGCTGGTACAGTACATGGAGGACCCCATGTAGAGAAAACAGTGCACACGTGTGTGCGTGCACACACATATACACAGTTGCACTCTGCCCATTTTTCCAAGCAGTGAGAAGCTCCCAGGTGCAGTGCAAATCCAAGTTTGGTCTCCTTTGGAAAAAGGTCACTTAAAGAGGTCGTCTGATAATCTCTGGAGTTGTATGGCATCTTGTAATTCCTGAGTCCATTTATAAACATTCAGGCTGAAAATAGGTGGAGTCACAGCTTAATACTTCCAACGGCCAAATCCACATCAAGTCTCTAGAGCATGTCAGCCTCACAGAGCTTACTGCTCAGCTCACTCTTTATCTGCCTTCTCAAAAAAGCTACTTCTACTGTTTTCCATAAAAAGCTAGACTTCTCCCCTCTGAGTGGGAGAATTAAGAATAAGTTTTCTCTTAGCCTTCCTGTGTCATTTACCTACAGTTTCCTTAACAAAAGTTGTGCCTGACTCTTAAGGGAATCCCCAACCACTGAATCTCTTTTCTCCAAACCCAGGTCATGCAGACAGATTTCATATTCATTTTTAAGTATATCTACAATGAGAAAAACAACATTGTTTTGACACTTCCATTATATTACTGAGAATTAAATTATAATTAAGTAGAAAAATTATTGTTTGACATCTTATAGTAAACATGACAATTTTATAAAATACACATGGAAACAACTTACCACTGGAAGTGTAAGCCAGGTAGCAACAACACGGTCAGTGATCCAGCGATACCAAGAGGGGGAGGCAAACATCAATGGAAGCAAGGGGCTGAGCATAAAAATGCTTCCAAAAACACTTCCCAAGAATAGGGTAAGTACAAAGTAAATTCCTCTACATGACAGCATGGCTCTGAAAGACAAAGGAAAAGGTTTTTACATAAATCAATTTCAACAGACTTCTTTCCAAACTGACTCCACTCTGGATTTTTCTATTAGATGGTATTACCGGAAAAATAATGCTACCGGGAAGCATACTGACACTGACCCCTCAAAACAATTCTGAACAATTAAGGTGGGGCAGAAGTAAAATGTTGATGTTCAGTTTTCCCCACTGTGTTCGCCACTTCATGTCACGGAAGAGTATTTTATTTCATTTTTGTACTACCCGGTCAGTGAAGCTCTCTGTATACCAGTGGTCATTTTAAGATTAGATGAATATTAAGTTATTCAACTTAATTCCATGTTAATTGTGTGCTACTGAATAACATTTTAAATAGAAAGATATCCAATAAAATGTGACAGAGGCAATAAAAGGGGGGAAAGCTTCCATTGCAATATCTTTGCAGAGCTGAATCTATAGAATGGTTTTTAATCTCAGGCAAGATTAGGTACAAGAGCTGATGGGGGGAATGACCAGGAGCTACAGGTAGAGCCTGGAGACACCTGGAGAGCCTTGTTCAAGCAGGCCCAAACTAGCAAACATGAAACAAACCCCACAATTCCACAGCCCACCAGACTTTCCTCCTCTGGAGCAGGAAAAGCAGGCAGGCCGGCAAGGGTTCAATAAAAGGTAAAGGTTTCCCCATGACATTAAAGTCCAGTCACGTCTGACTCTTGGGGGCGGCGCTCATCTCCATTTCCTAGCCTAGGGAGCCAGCTTTTGTCCGCAGACAGTTTCCATGGTCCTGTGGCCGGCATGACTAAACACTGAAGTTCACAGAACGCTGTTACCTTCCCATCAAAGTGTACCTTTTTATCTACTTGTATTTGCATGCTTTCGAACTGCAAAGCTGGCAGGAGCTGGGACAGAGTACACCCCATCTGTGGATTTGAACTGCTGACCTTTCGATCAACCATCCCAGCACCACAGCAGTTTAAACCACTGCGCCACCTGCATCCCAAGGGTTCAATACTGCAGCATAAATTTGCTTATGTCTTAACTTGGTGCCACCCAAACCAGTACACTTCCTTAGGATAGCCTGGCATGAGGGGGCACCTTCACACCACAGGAGAAGAGCTCACACAGAGGAATTGGGGGTGGCAACTACACATTTTTGGTTTGTTGATAGACCTAGCTTTGTTTCTGGTTTTTCAGGTGGAAACTTCAGCCAGGGATGTTTTTGCACACTTTTGGCTTGTTTGTCAATTCTAGCCCTTCCTGAAAAAGGGATGTTGAGCTAATTACCACCATGTGCTCTATGTGGGACTGCTTTGATGAATATTGGAAATCTACAACAAGTGCAAAATACTTTAGCCCATGTTATCAGGGGTTGGTTACTTCGGAGTATATTTTATGAGCTGAACTGGCTCCTGGTCTGTATCTGAGTTAATTCAAAACACTGGTTCTAACCTTTAAAACCTTAAACTTCTTTTATTTCAGTTTAATGGATGAATTTATTATCTTATTTTTATTTTGCATGTTTAAATGGTGACCAAATGGTGCAGTAGAATGTTGGAATAGAAATTTTCTAAAATTTTAAGTGGAATTCAAGGAAGCACCTTCAGGTGAGCATAACATGCCATCTTAAGCTTCAAGTTTTATCTCCTCTTGCCTCAGAAACAGTTGCTAGTTAAAAATGCTGCTGTAACAAAAATGTAGATAATTGCATTTGCGTGCGCGCGCTCTCTCTCTCTCTCTCTCTCTCTCTCTCTCTCTCTATATATATATATATATAGAGAGAGAGAGAGAGAGAGAGAGAGAGAGAGAAACTATCTAACCTCTACAAAGCACCCTATAAGAATCTGAGTGTAAATGTTCTAAGATTATTGTTTCTGGTCAAAACTATAATGTAGTGCCCATATTAAATAAATGAGATATATAATGAGTTTTGCTAAGCGTGGAACATTCCCAGAGTATCCTATCATTGGATAGGAAAGTTTCCATCTTAGTTGGCACCATGGTATCATTAAATAAATTTGGAAACACTAATTTTCCAAATTAAGAGTCTACAAATAGCCCATTTTCCATTATTTAAGATTAAATTGGTTGTTTGCAACATATGGGGCTTCACGTAGGCAGCTCTTCAATAGTCTGAACTGCCCTTTAAAAAGATGGTTAAAATGGACTTAGAAGAAATCACAGAAGGCTGACAAGAAACTGATGTTTTCAAAAAATGGGAGGTAGTAGCAATGAAAAAGCAATTCATTATGCTAAATAATCAGAACCAAATATGTTCAAGTTCCATTACACACACACACACACGGCTCTCTCCATTTGTTAGCTATATTATTCTGTATAAGACAGAAACTCAACTTAAACTCAAGCGCTGAAGATTGAATTTTCCACTAAATGCATCAGACATACCATGTCTAAAAATCATTGCTTTTATCTTGGAGCAAATAGAGCAAGGAGAAGTATGGTTCCTTTGTGCTTTAAGAAAACATTGCCATGTTTTTATAAGGAGGGCTTTCTGCATGAGTTTTTCCTTCAAAAGGCCAGGCAAGAAGTAAAGTGTCCAGCTAAATTTGTATTTGGGAGCTCTGGAGAAAGTCTTGTTCCTGCTATGGTCTGGTTCATGTGGAATGCTAAACCATAGTTTAGTTTCATTGGGAATAAGCCTCAGGTGCTTCATCTTTCAATGCAGCCACAATAAGGTCAGAAGCCTTTTCTATTTTAAACTAGATACAGTTAGTATGTAAGAGCTGGGAACTGTGCTGAGTCTTAACTGTGACTTACTGAAACAAGCCAAGATAATTTACCGCAATTCTGAAATTCCAATCTCTTCCTCTGAGCCATACAGGAAAGGGAAGATGGAAGAAGCCTACAAGCCTAGAGCTTATACACATTAAAAACCCTGTGGTTAAATGTTATGTGCTAATACAGCCCCTGGCTATAATCAGACATAAAGCTAAACTATGGTTTATTTGTCCTAACCAAAGTTAAGAACAGACATAGGTTCAGACTTGAAAACATACCATGCTTCAGTATGACCCTGAATGCAGCCACTGTGCCTTTGGGCAAGACTCTGAATCAGTATGCAGAGTTGGCAGCATTGTCTAAATGAGCCATGAGGGGTTACAATATGCATCAGCTGTCATTTGTGAATATCCAAGTTGCAATTGATGGGCACTGTAACTTATTGAGATGTACCAAACCAAACAGGTTGGTTTGTTGCCATCATTAACAAGCTATCACAGATCCCTGCTGCTGCCCACTGTTCATCACCAGGAGGAAAAAAATTGCCCCTAAAGAACAACCCATCAGTTTGGGTGGACAGCAGCAACTCTTCATTATTGCAGCTTTGTCTGGATTTGACAGAGACCTTCAGATCAACTTGAAATACATTAAATAAAACAGGTGCACCACTGTTAACCTTCAGTGACCTTTCACCATAGATGCTGAATACCTACTTGCCATAGCAAAACATGTTATACTCCCTTTGTAACTAAAAATTAAAGCTTGACTATCTCAGATGCTGGCTGCCAATTCCAAAAAATGTCAATACAAACTGAATGCATGCTCTGAAAAAAATGAGGCTATCTAGGAATGTGAAATATGTATCTTGCCTTGGGTAGGAAAACAACACATTCATCCATAAAATGAGTTCAAAACAGTATCTTTGTTTTTAAAAAATCCTTTGCAAAAAACCACAACAGAAAACTACCCCATTTCGACATAAAGTTCTTAACACTACTTCATGAAATCAATTTGGGTAGTTAAATATGGAAACAGTTTTTAGACAATTATCTTTTTTGCTACAGTAGGAACACATTTAAAAAAGGTTCTTAAGGGCCATATAAAAACGTTATTCTAAAGTAATTTTCCACTTGTAAGAAAAGATCATGGAGAAATATTGGGAGGAGTTAGGTTACATTTCAAATTGGAGGCTGGAAATGTTGAGATACAACTCTATTGTGGCACAAAATAGATTTCCCATCTATTGTGTGGCAGTACTCCAAGATATTGGTTATTCACATGTTCTTGTTGCCATAGCAAGAGAAAAACATTTTCTGTTTCCAGGTAACAGGGGATAGTAAATCCTAAAATATTTTGTTTTATTTTTCAGTTAGTTTTAAACATTCTTGGCTAAGAATAGAGAGTTACTTTCCAAAACAGTTGCATTTTTAACTCCAAAGTTTATTTTTATAATGAACATAAAATACATACAAAAATTACTGAAAAATATACAATTTTTTTCCAACCCAAAATTCATGACAGCATCAAAATTACTCTGTTCCTTATAGAAATCCTAATCCATCAAGGAAACTTAATGTACAACTATTCCCAGATTATTCTAAATATTTTGATGATTACAGTCTTCCAAAAGCATATAATTTAAAATAAATAATCAGATCTATCCAAGCCATGCCTGAGCAGTCAGGAATGCGTCCCTGGACATTCACTCCATCCTCACCCTCCCCTTTCTACTCCCCTCCTCTGCACTCACATACTAGCTACATCTAAACTGTTACAAACTGAAACATTTTGCTGTGGTTGATGTCAGTTAGCTAACAAGAATCTTAAAACACTCTGAAGTTGATCTAAGAATGAGCATGCTGTTCCATTGTACTTCCTCACTGTTGAAGGGTGATTCAGCACACCAGGAACTGAACTTGCAAATCACACCCACATACCTAACTGAATGCAAGTAAGTATTTTTTAACAAGATCACTAGACAATGAACATTGAGAGCAGTAATAATACATACACATTGGCCCCTTCAGGTCTATACGTTGTCCCTTTTGCTATTATGGCTTTAATAGCTGTGCCCATATAAAATAAAATCAAAGCTCACTTAGATATGTACTCAAAGTTAACTATATGGACTTCACTGGGAATTACCCCCACGTATGTATGCAGCCTAAGAAGAGCAGTGTTGCTGCAAGTCTGTACTCATTTCCTTGGGAGTAAATCTCATGGAACTTCGTGGCTTACTTCTGAGTAGGATGGCTTTGAATAATTTTATGTCA